CCCCACGCCCTCACCCGGTATGGCTGAGGCCACACTGTGTTCTACGGCTGCCACTTCCTGGGACCTCACCCGGCTCCTGAGTCAGGGAGGCAGCTCAGGGTCCAAGGAGGCCCCCCCGGGGCAGAGCCCCCACCCCAGGACCCCAAGGTGCCCTGGGGCTGCCGCGGCCGGGACTGTGCTCCCAGGAAGAAGTGGGCACTGCCTGGGCAGCCGGGGCTCCCAGGGAGGGCGTAGGGCCCCGCCCCCGCCTCGGGGACCTGCGGGCAACGCTGCTCGGGCGCCCGGCCTGCGTGTTTGAGGCCACGAGGCCCCGTCGTGTGGGGCAGGGCCGTGAGGGGACGCCCTCCGCTCCCACCGACAGGGGCGGCCGGCTGTGCGCCGCAGCTTGTTTCCTCCGGGTGTGCCCAGCACACCGCTCAGCCATTTCATGACCTCAGAATCTGGAAAACCAAAAACATTCTGCCTAAAACATGACCTCTACTTGAGTTTTAGCTTTTTTTCATGAAATTTGCCCAGCTCCTCCAGAGCCCTGGAATCTTTCATCTTTGGGAGTGGGGGAGGGGCTCGTCCCCGCGGGGAGGGGCGGGGGCTGACCATCCGCCACGTGTGCTCCTTCACGTGGGCTGCGCTTGGTTGCGTTCAGAAAGTGGCATTTTTACAGAAAAATCTAGTTCTTTAAAACCCTCGTTTCGGCCACTGGGCTAACACGAAAGTAATAAAAGCCAACTCAGGCTGAGTCTTTCCTGTGTGTCGGGCACTGGATCAAACATGCTACATGCATGACATCATGTAGAGCTCACAGGTGGGAAACTGAGGCTTCGGGGACAGAGGCCCCAGGCCAGGGCCCACCTCAGAGGCGGCAGAGCCACCGAGCCCCCAGCCCAGGCCCCTCCGCCCGGCTGGTGGCAGGAGAAGGCGGCAGCCCCCTGGGAGGGGCTGTGCAGGCTCCAAACAGGGAATGGGAAGTGGGGGCGGGGGGCACAGAGAGACCGCAGCCTCGGACCTGCCGCTCCAGCCAGCAGTCGCGGCCCCTGCCTGCGTTCACCCGCCTTTTACTCTCTGCGGTCTGACCTCCGTTGCCTGGGTCCTGCTGGCCTGGCCAGGTGGCCCCTCCAGGGCAAACCGGTTCCTAGAGATAAAAAGCCACAGCCCAGAGCCATCAACGCAGAGCCCTCTCCCCGCCCACGGCTTTGCTGGGTTCCTCTGGGCACTCAGGGCCGTATCTCCCGCCCAGATCACCCAGGGGGAGGCCCTGCCCGCCCCCCACAGCCCCTGAAATTACTTAAACCAGCCAACCCCCTGCCTGCCCGCCAGGCTCACGGGCAGCTCCTTCCCTGCAGGCAGGCCCCTGCCGCCGGCCCCTCCCTCTGCCTCTGTCCCAGCCCCAGCTCCCCTGCTGTGGACCCTCCCCTGGAGAACTGTGAGTAACGGCTCTACCTCCGGTGACAACCGTCCCCTGAAGGGTTGCTCTGCCATTCCCGGTCACAATGCGGACTTGAAGACATTCCTTCTCCAGTGAGCCCTCCAAAGACAAGCCAGTGCCCGGGGCGGGGCACTGGGACACCCCGCTGCCAGGGAACAGGGACACGCCTTTCTAGTCCTCACTCCCTGCCTGCCCTGGGCGGCCTGGGTAACCTCCTGTCCCCACTCTGGGGCTCAGAATCCGGTCGGTTTTGTCCTGGGGGTCACATGGGATGGCAGCGGGGGAACCGTGTGCACCGAGGGCTCCGGACAGGCCCCGGGACCCGCCCGTCCTGCTGCGTTTCCTCCGTCCTCTCAACCTGCCCTCCTCCCTGACCCCCATGACACCCCCGGGCGTGACGAGGCCACTGCCCGCACCCGCAGCCTGGGAGCCGCAGGGCCACAGGGGCGCGCTGGCTTGCCCGAGGCCACAGAGCCGGGGTCAGTCAGGGTGCACCAGGCGACGCTGTGGTGGGTCACAGCAGCAGGGCAGCCGCCACTGCTGCAGCGGGGCCCCCCGCATGGGCGGTGACCTCTCCTCGCGGATGCCCTGCGGGTGGGTCCTCCCTGCCCCGTCGGCTCCTGGGGCTGCCGGCGCCGCTGGGCTGGTGGCCGCGTGGTTCCAGCCTCTGCCTCTGTCCGCACGCGGCCTCTCCTCGACGAGTCTCTCCCCTCTTCTCTCACGACGACGCTCGTCATTGGATTTAGGGTCCACCTGGGAGCCCCAGGGTGGCCTCACCTCAGAACCCTCACTTTGTCCTGCCAAGGCCCTTCCTCCCAGTAAGGCCACACTCACAGGTTCCAGGGGCCGGGCTCGGGCGTGCCTTTGGGCACCCCATGCCGCCCACGATCCACGTTGCGCAGCTGCCAGTCGCGGACGTTGCTACCAACACCGGGAGCGGGCGCTTCCCTCGGGGCGTGCGCACGCTGCCGGTGCACGGGGCCTCTCCCAGCTGTGAGCGGACAGCGTGCGGCCCGGACGAGTTGGGGACGGGAGCACAGGGGGCGGCGGGCTAGGGCAGGCCGGGGTGGCCCCGGAGGAAAGGGGGCATCCCCAAGCCCTTGGCGCGAGGGCCGCAGGACCCGGGGCAGGCGGCGCGGGGGGTGGAGCCCGGCCCCCCGCAGGCGGCAGGGGCCGGGCCTGGGGACACGCAGACTGTTCACACGCTTAAGCCGAGGGCAGAGATGCCTGCGACCTCGGCCCGGAGTCTCGGCAGTGCCCAAGGGCACTTGTGCTGGGACGGTCCCTCGTGTGAAGTGACTTTGGAGGCAAACCCTTAGAGACAGGTGGGGATGGCAGCATCTTCAGCGCACAATCCCTGCCCCGCCGCGCTCGTGAGCTCTGGGGTCTCCAGGAAGGACACAATGCAGCCCCCTGAAAGGCAAGTTCCTCTTCGGGGGCGATTCGGGGTGCCTGGCTCTGCAGAGCAAAATTCGGAGAAGCGCTCTAACCCCAGAGGACCCACGGACGCTGGGACCCCAGGGTGTGAGGCAGGTTGGCAGGTGGGAGGGAGGGAGGGGTTCTCGGGAAGGGCATGCCAGCCTCGCCAGGCCGCCCCCCACAGCTCTGGCCCCTGGCCTGTCCCAGGACCCAGGCCCAAGCCAGGGGCTGAGCTGTCCTGGAACAGTCAGCCCAGGGAGCGGGGGCGCTGAGGCCCAGGGGGGCCAAGGCACCCTCTCAAGGCCACACAGCCAGAAAGGGGCAGACAGTGCCCGCCGCCCGGGGGACACTGCAGAAGGCGCGGCCCCGTCCGGTGAACCGGGGGAGGCACCCGTGGGAGACTGCAGTCCCGTGGGAGGGCTGAGGCGGAAGGGAAGGACCGGCCCACACTGAGGGCAGCCCGGTCTGAGCTCATCCCGTGAACGGGGAGCTCACTCTTCCAACTTCCAGGGAACTGGCCCCGTGCCCACAGCCCAGCCGGCCAGGGCCCAGGGACAGGAGAGGATTTAGGGCGGGGTGGTGAGCACAGGCAGCAGGCGAGGTGGCTCAGAGCCCCTCCGCCCGGCCCACCTGCTCCCCAGCGAGAAGCGGCTCCGCTCGCCCCAGGCGGGCCCCGGGCGGGCCTAGGCCCGGCTCGCTTCCGTGCGGAGGGCGGCGTGGCGGTGGAAGGCTGACGGAGCGGCAGCTTGTAAAGCCAGGGTTCGGGGTCCTACTTGGGTGCAGGGGCAGTGGCGCCATCTGTGAGCTCTGGTGACAGCCGCCCACCCAGCTCCTCCGTCCCCTCCCTCGGGGAGCACAGCCCCCCAGCCCTCGCTTCCCCCAGAACAGCCCAGCCGTCTGGGCAGCTCCCTCCGTACACACTGGGGAAACTGAGGCCCAGAGTAGGGGGTAGCGCAGTCACCCCATGACACCAGAGGCCAACTTGGCTCCCTGGACACCCAAGAGAGGAGCGCTGGGCGCTGGGCAAGGCCCAAGGGGGCCCGGTGACAGCCTTGCCCAGGGACAAGCCAGCCACAGAGAAAGGAGCTGGCAAGGCCAGTTGGGGCGCAGTCGAGGTGGGGGGCTTGGAGCCGGATTGGGAGTATTCCAGGGCCTCACAAGAGGGGGGGACCCAGATAAGCAGGGAGGGGACCAGCGTGCTTGGCGGGGCACAGCCCAGCAAAGGTGGCCGGGGGCCCCAGGCGCGTACTGGGTGGGCTCTGTCTCTGCGTCCTCACGAGTCTCCCGCGGCTGCTCCCTGTCCGTCTTCGTCTCTCCGTCTCTGCCTGGCTGCCTTGTTCTCTGTCTCCCCAGTCTCTGTCTCTCTCTGGCTCTCCCCGCCCCCGCCCCCCCGCCCCCGCCCCCCCCCTCAGCGCCAGAGTCCTGAAGGCCCCTCCACTGAATGAACACCCCGCCCCCGGCTGAGGCCAAGGACCGGTGTGGATCCCGCAGGGGCACAGGAAAGGCGGGGCCGCTCTGAGCGCCGCTCTGCCCCGGCTAGGCTTCCTGTGACCAGCCCTCCCACCCCTCAGAAAGCGTCCCCGATCACGGCCACAGGCTGCGACCAGAGCAGGACCCCTGGCCTCTGACTCCTGGAAATCGAGGGCAGAAAACCCTTGTCTTGGCTTTTCCCCCAGAGGACCCGGGGCCCTGTGACCTGTCACCAAGTCCCTACACCCGCAGGGTCCCCGATGGAGCAGGGAGAAGGTCCCTGCTCCTGTGGTCCCTGTGGGCATCGCCTTTGTCTGCAGAGACCTGTCCATCTCATGGTCGCCTCTGCCGCTGCGCACCTCCCCGCGCAGGGCTGTGCGAGCCCCCAGCGCATCGCGCCCCGACTAGCTGACGGCAGGGTGGGTGGGGGCGTGGGGGAGGGGCCCCCATAGGGCGCATCAGGCATGTCTTACGAGTCCTCTTACAAAGAGGTCTGCAAGGAGGGAGGGCGCAGAACCCCCATGGGACCGTGGCCCCCGAGTGGGAGCCACATCAGTCCGGCTGCACCCAGAGGACACCCTGAGGATCGGGGCGATGCCCCTGCCTTTCCCTGGGAGGACATGCGACTTCAGCAGGGATATTTGTCACTCCCTCGCAGGTCCCACCTCCCAGCTCCCCGCCAGCCAGGATGTTTGGGCTCTGGAGGACCTTCACCAACGTGGTTTTCTACGTCACCCTGGCCGTCGGCCTCGGGGGGCTGGTGGGCAACGGGCTGGTGCTCTGGCACCTGGGCCTCCACATCAAGAAGGGCCCCTTCTCCGTCTACGCCCTGCACCTGGCCGCCGCGGACTTCCTCTTCCTCGCCTGCCAGGTGGCCTTCTCCATCGTGCAGGCCGCCCTGGGCTCCCAGGACACCCTCTACTTCATCGTCACCTTCGTGGGGTTCGCCGCGGGGCTCTGGCTGCTGGCGGCCTTCAGCCTGGAGCTCTGCCTGTCCGAGGTCTTCCCCGCCTGCTATGAGAGCTGCCGCCCCAGGCACCTGTCGGCCGTCCTGTGCAGCCTGCTCTGGGCGCTGACCCCGCCGGCCGTGCTGCTGCCCGCCAACGCCTGCGGCCTGCTGCGCACCAGCATGCGCCTGGGGGCCTGCGTGCGCTCCCACGCGGCCAGCGTCATCTGGCTGCTGTCCCTGGCCGGCGTGGCTTGTGGGGCCGGGCTCGTCCTGGCGCTCTGGGTGGCCTGCTGCTCCCGGCGCCCGCGGCCCCGCTTCTACGGCGCCGTGCTGGGCTCGGGGCTGCTGCTCTTCCTCTGCGGCCTGCCCTACGTCCTCTACTGGAGCCTGCGGCCCCTCCTCAACCTCCTGTTGCCCCTGTTCCGCCCGCTGGCCACCCTCCTGGCCTGCATTCACGCCAGCTGCAGGCCCCTCATCTACCTCACTGTGGGCCGGCAGCCGGGAAAACGCCAGCCGCTGCGGGCCGTCCTCCAAAGGGCCCTGGGGCACGGGGCCCAGCCGGAGCCGAGGGCACCGCCCCTGCCCATGGACGCCATATAGGGGTGCCCGGGGCCCGCCCGGCCCACCGCCCCTTGCCAAGCCCCTCCAGGACCGTGGCGGGCCCCACCCCACCCCAGCACACTTGCTCTGGGACCCAAGGGCTGAGGACAGGGTGACAGCCTTGGTCCTGACCCCCCACGGGAGCCCAGGGAGGAAGAGGGAAGTGTGAGGGGTTCTCCAGGAAGGGGGAGGACGTGAAGGGAAGTGACCGGCAGGCCCACGTGGGAGCCTGTCCTTGCACGGCACGCACTGAGGTCCTGCAGCTGATTTTTGCGCTGAAGAGTCATAGAGGACCCTGCCCTGCCTCCCCGCAAGTCCCCAAATCCCCGCAGTGGCTGTACCCAGAGCCTACCCAGCAGTCTCCTCATTGGCCACCAGGGGGCGCTGATTCCTCACCAAACGCATCTCAAAGTCAGTTCTCAGCACGGGGGTGCCGCTTGCCCTCCCCTGCCGCTTCCAGCCCCACGTGGGACCCAGGGTCCTGTACACCCTGCTGTCTGGAGGGTGCTCTTGTCCCAGCCCCCACCCCTAGCTTCCCCACACCCCTGCCCGCCCCTGCAGACCTTGTCCATCCAGTGTTTGTGCTGGGACTTTCTTTACGGGGAAAGGGAGACAGACACACAGGCAGGTAGGCAGGGAGCGGTAACTGAAGCCACTCTTCTTAGCTTTCAAAGGACAAATTATTTTATGTGTCTTCTGATCATTTAAAAAAAAAAGAAGGTCCATGATCATTGTCAAGACATTCAAGCCCTACAGAAAATATCGAGAAGAGAAATCACCCAAACCCTCCGGACTCAGAAGGGGGACCCACTGGGGATGCAGAACATTCTGGTCGTGTTTATGTCTTTAACAGGACCCTGCAGACAGTTCTGTTTTTGCCCAAAGACATTCTCTCTGTGCTACGTGACAAGAAAGCATTTTGCAACTACAGAAAAATTGTTTTATAAAGTTGTCATATTTGTATCCACTAGAAGAGTAATGCGCTGTGAATTATGGGAATTTGGGCGACATTAAGAAGCGGAAAGAAGGAAAACTTCAACCCAGAGGCCCTCGACTTCGCGGGGGTCCCCCCTCCCTCCCTGGGACGCCCATGGTTCCGGCCACATGGAGCCCCCCAACCTATCCCCACTCCACCCCCGTATCGTCCCCCCAGGCGCCCCCAGACGGTGCCCTCAGGACTGGGCGATTCTGCCAGGGCTCTGCCCAGCTAAGGGCCGTCCTGTGGCCTGGAGGGTGGGTGGCAGCCCCGCGCCCCTAGATGGGCAGGGGGCGCTTGGCTTTGGGAGGCGGGGCCAGAGGGACCTTCCATCCCTGCGGTGCTTCCCGCCAGCCCCCGAGGAGGGTGGGGCCCCTCCCTGAAGGCCAGGCTGGGGTGAGCTGGGAGGCGCTTTCAGCTCCGGGGGCTCAGCCCCATCCTCCCCGCCCCAGGAAAGAGCTGCGGAACCCCCTGTGGGGCCGTCCGGCCGTGTGTGTCTAGAGTGGGGAGGACAGGAGTCAGCCAGGCAGCTGACAGTGTCTGGGCGCGTGATTAAAGACCTGTCCACACAGATGGGGACTTCGGGGCCTCTGGCCTCCCCACCCGCTGCTGGGGTGCGGGGGTGCCAGCCTGAGCCCCAGCAGGCTGGTCCTGGAGAAGTGCACGGCTGTCCCAGGACTGGGCTCCACCCTGCTGGCCGCTCTGCCGCGGGGCAGCCTCCGGCAAGTCACCGACGGCCCATAGCCCGTTTGCAGGAGGAGGCAGAGCGGCATATGTTCCTGGGTCCCGGGAGGGACCGAGGGCAGCTCGCACTGCGGGCCAGTCCCGACCCGCGTGGCCAGCAGCGACACCTCTGTTTCGGGGCGGAGCTCCCTCCGTCCCAGCCTGCCCTGGCTCGGCACTGCTGCCGCCCAGCCATCAGGGTCTGTCCTTGTATCTGTCCGGTGACGCCGGGAGCTTCCTGGCGGGGGTGAGGGTGGGGCACCACGCCCGCCCATGTCCTGACCGTGGCCCTGAACCCCGAGCTGCATCGCGGACGGGGAGGCCAGGGCTCCCTGCAGAATAGAGTGCGACCCAGGCCCCCGGACTCCCCTTCAGCCAACACACATCCTGCTGTGCGCTGGGCAGGGCCCAAGGGACCAACACACAACGGAGTGGCCCAGTCCTCAAGGAGCCTCTCATCTGGACCTCACGACCTAATCGCTCCCAAGGGTCCCGCCTCCTGATGCCATCTCACGGGTTGACGGGGGATTAGGGCTTCGCTGCTGGGATTCAGTGCGTGCAGTTGGCCGGGGTCGGAAGCAAAGAGGGGAGACCCAGGCTTATGACTTGGGGGCCCAGCAGGAAGCGGCCGTGGGCTGGACTCGGCTATGGAGTTGCCTGGCCCGGGCTGTCCCCACTCCTCTGGGCTGTCCCCTCTGGGCGCTGACTCTGCGGGGCTCAGCTCTTTGTGCCGCTCAGGGCTGCAGGCCGAGCCCGGGCGGCCGCCAAGGATTCTGGGGCGAACAGGCACACGTGGGACCCAGAGGAAACCCGCCCTGAGGTCCAGGGCCACCCTCGGCCTGGCGTCCTTGCACGCACCCCCGCCCCGTGCGACCTTTCCAGCCGGAGCTTTCTGAGGACCTATGTGTCCGCATTGGATGGCTTCCGGCAGCCTCGGGCACCAGGGCGGGGGCTTTGGGAAGAGACCCAGCTCCTCCAAAAGCCCCTTTTAGAGCCGTTGACAAACATGCTTCAGAGCCTTGAGGCAGCCCGCCCTCCCCAGTGCACCTCGGGTGGTGGCGGGAGCTGCCAGACAGCACAAGGGTGCCTCTCCTGGGCGCCTGGGGGCCGGCCGCCTGCAGACCCTGCCGGCATCGCCAGTCGCCACCTTCTACTAATTGGGAAAGTGCACTGCAAAATTCAGACTGCTGGCCTCTCCTGACGTCAGAGGCCGGCATGCCTCAGCGCAGGACCTGGGCACGGCACGGGGCGGGGGGGCTGGTCTGGGGCCCCTCGCTCCCCAAAGGCCTGGCTGCTGTCACCCTGAGCCCCTCACTGCATCTCGCTGTTGTTTTCTAAAATGACAAGGAACATGAGCGGGTCCTTTCGCTCCGTGTGTGTGTGTGTGTGTGTGTGTGTGTGTGAGAGAGAGAGAGAGAGAGAGAGAGAGAGAGAGCGGGTAAAAACAGACCCGGGGAGCCTGTGTTGCGAGCGAGGAAAATGGGGAGAGCAGCTCAGCCTCAGGCGGACGTAATGAATGTTCCCTCATGTTTCACGCAGCTCTGGATTCCCCTGCCGGAGGAAGACCCCACCCCGCCCTGACAGGGCCCCTTCATTCTGCGGGGGAGAAACTGAGGCCCGGGCGGGGCGGCAGCCTCGGGGCACGCAGCGTGGCCGCGGCGAGCCAGGCCTCCTCGGACGGGCGCAGGAGCCCCCCTGAGACGCTGGGGGCCCCGGGAGCATCTCCTGTCTTTGCCCTGACCCCCCGAAGCCTCCCGGCGAGCTGGCCAACCAGCCCGGGGCGCAGGTGGCCCGCGGCAGGGCTGATGGGCTGGCGGAGACGCCCACAGGAGGGGGGCAATTAAGGACATTTGGCGGCTTCAGGTGGGAAGCCAGGCCGCAGCTGGCCGGAGAGACGGGGAGCTGGCGGAGGCAGACGGAGAGGCCCCCCTGCAGCCAGCAGGGCCGGCCTGGCCCGGCTGCCTCCTCATTAGCGGCCAGTCAGGCGGTCGCTGGGCATCTGCTCCAAGGGAGAGGGCCAAACCAGGGCAGCCTCTCTGGAGCGGATCTGAGGCCAGGGTTAATCTCTGCTCCGATAGGTCGCCTCCCTGCCCCTCGCGGGGTCTGAAACTCCACCACAAGCATCCCCGCTGTGGGGGTGACAGGGCGGGGGACGGGGGGCGGGAACTGCTGTGGCGAATCAGAGCGGGAGAGGCAGAGGGGGCGGGGCTCCCAGGACTGGCCTTCGGCTGTGAAGCAGGGGCGCAGCTCTGCCAGCCTCGGCCCCGGGCTCCGGCTGCCACGCTGAGTGGGAGCGGGGGACCCACGGGGCCCTAAGAGACCCCCAGGTCAGGGAGGTCACCTCGCGCCAGCTGCCTGGCACAGTGCCCGTTTCTGTTGTTCTAGTATCATCACCATTATCACCATCGCCACCATCGCCACCATCATCATCATCACCATCATCATCACCATCACCATCGCCACCATCGCCACCACCATCCCCACCATCATCATCATCACCATCATCATCACCATCGCCACCATCGCCACCATCGCCACCATCGCCACCATCATCATCATCACCACCATCATCATCATCGCCACCATCATCACCATCATCACCGTCCTTCCTCCTCCTCCTCAAGGCACCCCTGGCTTCTGGCCAAAGACCAAGGAGCGAGGGAGGCAGAGAGCCAGCCCACGCCTCCACGTGCCTTGGCTCCCGCCGGCCCGCGCACGCGCGCAGCCTCCCTCACTGGCCGGGCCTCCGCGGCCCCTGACCCCAGGCGGGCCCAGCCTCCCCGGCAGGCAGGCTCGCCTCTTGGCAGGTGAGCACGCGCCGCGCTTCTGACTGGGTGCTCCCTGGGTCGGGCCCGGGGCTGTGAGGCGCTGGGTCACGGCTGATGGGGAGGACGGAGAGAACGGGAGGGGAGGGGAGGGGAGGTCACAGGCCTGTCCCCTGGCGTCGGGTAAACTGAGGTGTAGCGAGGCCGCCGGGCTGCGGGGGGAGGGGGACATGGCCACAAAGCCCAGGCCATCAACCTTCAGAGTTTTCTGCCTCCGCTTGATGTGACTGATAGGTTTGGGCAAGGGAGGGGTCAAGGGTCATGCTCACAAGAGCGTGCGGGGGCCCTCCAGGCCACCCCTCTGAGCGCCCCAGCCCTGAAAGCCACAGCCTGGGGTCCCCTGGCCAGCAGGGACGCTGAGCGTGCGAGGGGAGGCTGGCACGGGGAGGCGGAGGCACGCCCACAGCGGAGGGCAGGGGCGGCACCGCGAACACATCCCGACCAGAGTCACCTCGCATGGGGACCCGCTGCCCTCC